CCATTGTTCACCTACCAAGTTAATATTATCTATGTATGGCAGTATATATGGGATGAAAGATGATCTGAAATGTGACTACTTCTACTATCCAGACGCAATGGAGTTGGTTAAGAAGAACATTTCATCTTTTAATATTGAATTGTCTTGCTTTTGTAGGCTAAAGTCAGACCCCTACAATTATAGGACATGGAGGTGATGGTTTCATGATCTAAGAGCATTGGAACTATAAGTTCAAACATGGAAGGGCTAATTCAGCTACTTAAGATTTCTGAGATAAAATGTATTGCAGTTCATGCAGTTTGAGTCTTTTGGCATAGATCTTAAGAACTAAGGTATCTGCTCCACTTGGATGCTAAAGACTTGATTTTCATAAAGCTGAAGCCTTAACTTTATGCACAATGACAATATTTACACAATAAAGTCATTTTCATAAAGCTCTTATGGTACTTTTCATAAGGTTGCTGCGGTGACCTGGGCCAAAATTTCTCCCCCCCCCCATCAGAGGTACCTAGAGGTAGTTGCATTTTTGTGGAGCTGAATGTATATTGTTTGTGAAGTGTTTTGGAACCCTAACCTGTGTTGTGCCATGCTTTGATTATTAAATTTCTTCAGTGAAAGAGAGCTGTGTATGACTAACTTGGCAAAGCAAAAGTAATCGAAAGCATTAAAACAAAAAATATATATTTCCTGACATTGTATGAGTAACTCAGGCTTATAATAAGAAACTTCTGATTTTTAATCTGAATTTTAATCAATTTGGTATCAGATCATGTGTTATTTCCAACTAAGTTTTGTGCTGCTGTTAATAGCAATATATATATATATATATGTATATATATATTAGGAATATGCTGATAAAACCTTATTATATCTTATAATAGCATTTACTTTAATACAAGATCAACAAAGAATTCTTTAGAAGAAAATATTGATATTTCAGTGTAAATTTAGATTTATTCATATTCAGGAATAACTATTTTAGCTTTTTTCCCCCGAGATATTGGATTTTCACTAGAGCTTTGCAAAATTTGTGTGTGTGTCTATTTTAACTCTATAATTGTTTCAGACAAAGTAATATTTTTATGCTATCAGGTAGTATGTTTATGGAAAATTCATCCTAACTTGACAAGTACTGTAGTATATTTCTCTTGAAAACTGCCCACAGTGGGGGTTTTTTTGGTCAAGGATAATTTTACTTTGACAAATTGTAATCACTTCCTGCTATATTGTGGCATCTACCTTTGGTTTGTCTGTTGCTAGTATTTTACTATTGATGCTGTTGTTTTTAAATCTAAATATAATATATTTTTTTAAATCCTGTTTTTAAAAACAAAACCTCAAACTTCTGATACTGTGGTTAAACTTTGTATACAAAATTTTAGCCCTGAGTGAATTTGTATAGCTGTGTGAAAGGAGACGAGTCTATTGCACAGGTGCTACCAGACCACATTACATAATGGACATAAACTGTGAGATGAATTTGCATAAATGCAGTTCTCAGCTGAACTGACTCCTGCTTAGATGTTAGGCAGGGAAAACAAGGATGCTGCAGAACACAAAGAATCTTGCAAACAGTCCTTACAACAACAACCAGGGCAGTAGCAGCTTATAAGATTGGCCTGGTCTGGCCAGATGCCCATGATGCCATGACTCTACTGAACCACTGCAATAGGAGTATTTTATTGCCTTCCACTAAGAAGAGATCAACAGTTGAAAGCAGCAGACTGACTGGTTTCTTTCTGAATATTGTTTTATTATAATGTTAAACATTTTCTTCTAAGTCTGTGATTAAATTGTTGTACAGTACCGTGCCACTACGTTTAAGTAAACTACATTTTCAACTGTTCAGAGAGTTTCTCTATCATGTGTCTAAGAAGGGTCTAGGAGACTTCTTAGTAGGAGATTAAAACTTCCCTCTTCCCCCATGCTGTGGCAATGGCATCATGTCACCTATGGAAACTATTGGGAGCCTCTTGGTGTGACTGACAAGAGAGGCCACCAACAGGGACTTCTCCATGTCCATGCCACTCTAAAGGAAGGATGGTCCAGTAGTTAGGGCACAAGTCTAGGACTTGGGAGACCTGGATTCAATTCCCTGCTCTGCACCAGACTTCATGTGAGAGGTTGATCTCACAGGTGCTTAGTATCTCTATGACTCAGTTACCCATCTGTAAATCTTGCAGGGTGTTGTTAGGATAAATACAGTGAAGAGCGTGAGGTGCTCAGATATTAGAATAATGGAGGCTTGATAACGTATCTAAGCCCTGGTCTACACTACGAGTTTAGGTCGAATTTAGCAGCATCAGATCGATTTAACACTGCACACGACGAAGCCATTTTTGTCAACTTAAAGGGCTCTTAAAATCGATTTCTGTACTCCTCCCTGATGAGAGGATTAGCGCTGAAATCGACCTTGCTGGGTCGAATTTGGAGTAGTGTGGACGCAATTCGATGGTATTGGCCTCCGGGAGCTATCCCAGAGTGCTCCCTTGTGACCGCTCTGGACAGCGCTCTCAACTCAGATGCACTGGCCAGATAGACGGGAAAAGCCCGGTGAACATTTGAATTTTATTTCCTGTTTGGCCAGCGTGGCGAGCTCAGAGGTGACCGTGCCGATCTCAGCAGGAGAGGTGACCATGGAGTCCCAGAATCGCAAAAGAGCTCCAGCATGGACAGAACAGGAGGTACTGGATCTGATCGCTGTATGGGGAGAGGAATCCGTGCTATCAGAACTCCACTCCACCCCAGAGGACTGCCCAAGCAACAGAGAGCTGGCATTCAATAAGTTTTGAAGTGCAGTGTGGCCTTGTCCTTCCCTCCTCCACCACCCCACCCGGTGCTTCCCTCCTCCCCCACCCCTCCCGGGCTACCTTGGCAATTATCCCCCCATTTGTGTGACGAATTAATAAAGAATGCATGAATTTGAAACGACTTTATTGCCTCTCCAAGCAGTTATCAAAGGGGGGCGGGGAGGGCAGTTGGCTTACAGGGAAATAGAGTGAACCAAGGGGGCGGGTTTTCATTAAGGAGAAACAAACAGAACTTTCACACCGTAGTCTGGCCAGTCATGAAACTTGTTTTCAAAGCTTCTCTGATGTGCAGTGCGCCCTGCTGTGCTCTTCTAACCACCCTGGTGTCTGGCTGTGCGTAATCAGCGGCCACGCGATTTGCCTCAACCTTCCACCCTGCCATAAATGTCTCCCCCTTACTCTCACAGATACTGTGGAGCACACAGCAAGCAGTAATAACAACGGGAATATTGGTTTCGCTGAGGTCTAACCGAGTCAGTAAACTGCAACAGTGGACTTTTAAATGTCCAAATGCACATTCTACCACCATTCTGCACTTGCTCAGTCTATAGTTGAACTGCTCCTTACTACTGTCCAGGCTTCATGAGCCATGGGAGCAAGGGGTAGGCTGGGGTAGGTGCGACCGTGTGGTGCTGCCAGCTGGGAGAGCAGCCTGAGGCAGAAGCCTCCAGTTCGCATGGTATTCCAGGCAGGACTGAATCTCCATGAGACGAAACTTAAAGAAGAGAATGATCTGGAGTCACTCCCATTTATGTCACTGAGGTCTGCCAGGAGCACCGATGTCTGCCCACCCAAGAGATGACGACGGCGGCTAGCAGTCATACTGCACCATCTGCTGCTGCGAAGGCAAGGAGCTGCTGCTGTGTAGCAATGCAGTACCGCATCTGCCAGCAGCACCCAGGAGACGTATGGTGACGGTGAGCTGAGCGGGCTCCATGCTTGCTGTGGTATGTCGGCTGCACGGGTAACCCAGGAAAAAAGGCAAGAAACAATTGTTTGCCGTTGCTTTCACGGAGGGAGGGAGGGGGGCCTGACGACATGTACCTCAAACCACCCGTGACAATGTTTTTGCCCCATCAGGCATTGGGAGCTCAACCCAGAATTCCAATGGGCAGCGGAGACTGCGGGAACTGTGGGATAGCTACCCACAGTGCAATGCTCCGAAAGTCGACGCTAGCATCGGTACTGTGGACGCACTCTACCGACTTAATGCGCTTAGTGGGGACACACACAATCGACTGTATAAAATCGATTTCTAAAAAATCGACTTCTATAAAAATCGACCTAATTTCGTAGTGTAGACATACCCTAAGATAAACACTGAGAGACCAGATCACAGCTGCCAGGAGCAGATGGGACAGACCAGATTCATCTGGACAGGCATTTGAGTTTGTGGAGAAAAAGGGGAGACCCCTCTTTAAGAGACCAACCTTGAGCTGTTTTATAAAATAACATTCATGCAGGAAGGTAAGTTGAGTGTATACCCAAACAGCTTCTTACTGCGACATTCGAGTGACAACAATATCCTCCTGAACAACCTGCAGGTCCAGAGGAGGGGACTGCAAAACCTGATGGGGGGAACGGTATTGATGAAGACATTTAAAATTCCAAAGTAGCACAAAGCAGGGGAATATTTAAGTGATTAGAAACTATGGGTGCTGTAGAAACACAGACATACAAGATAGGGAGTGTAAAGGAAAGACAGACATTTCCTGTTGGAGAATGGAGGAGGAGAGGCACATATTAGGAAAAAAATATAATTTCTGATTTTGAAGCTTGGGGTCATGTGAGGTTTTTGGAGTCACAAGAAGGTATCAGTTTGAAGAGTATCAGGCCAAAAGGTTTAGGATACGTCTGGAGAACTAGTAGCAGCATTAGTGCTTCCATCTACAACGTTTTCCTTTCAAATAAAACTGTTTGGCTTAGTGCCAAACAGCCAATTGTTCATTATCAATTATTTTATTTTATTGCCAAACATCTGTGGTCATATCTGAAGTGGCTGTAGGGTTAATACACCAATTGCTCTGTGCAGGGGGTAATCAAGTGGCCAACACATAGTCCCTTCATTTACAACATGGCGGAAAAATCATGTGACACATTATAAAAGGGATGTTCTATGATGTATATACACTTCTCCCAAGAGCATTATGTGACTGTTTTGAGGCAGCTAAAGACCTTTCCCATACTAAAATTAATTCATTTCTGCTTTTACACTGATTCTCAAGAATAATTATAAAGACAGCCTCCCTCTGCCAGTTTCAAATGTGTTAAGTTTTCAGAAGTTTTTTTTTTTAATTGAATCATGATTAATAATAGCCACAGGCTAGTCATACCAAAAAGGCAAGTTCTCACACTCTGTGATGATAAAGCATTTCATCAGTTTGGAGGAAAGAAAAGAACTACTACTCACAGAGTTGCAACATCACATTATCCGTGCGTTGCTGAACTTTCAAAATCCCACAGCATCCCCAACAGTGATGTGTTACACAAAACAACATTAGAAGTCATTGAAGTGTCAGATAGTGATTTCATCGTGTGTCAGGCCTCCTACTAAAAAAATGATTCATCTTTTCAGTGCTGACACCTCAAAGAGTTATTAAGGAAGAAAAGAAATTCATAAACTTTAAATTGAGAAGTGTACTGATATTTTACTCCCAGATAAAGAAAGGTTTATGCAGGTAGTGAGAATGCAGTGGATTCCTCATAGTATTAACCCTTTGTTCTTTTAAAGTGTAGTTCTAACTTTGAAAAGTGACTCTATAAAAGCAGCATCACGGGGTTTCATGTTTATTACATCTCAGTGGCTTCCAGATCAATTGTGCTCAATTTAGAAGTAAAGATATAGGTTTTTTTTAACCACCAGCCTTGAAACTCAAATTGGAATGGGAGAGTCAGGCTGTGTTTTCTGGTTTGTGCACTACTACCAGTAATAAAGATTATGTAGGTCAAAGTAAGTTGGCCCTTACAATCTATTCATTGATTACAATCCAACCCCCACTGAAGGCAATGGGAGCCTTACCACTGATTTTAATGGAAACTTGATTGGGAGAGAATTTGACCTTCTAATACGAATTACATAATCTTTCTTTGGTGTTGCATGAGCCAGAACAGAATGCATCTCACCTCCATCTCCCATTTAATACTAACGCTGCAGTGTTAACAGGACTAAAAAATAAGCCAAACTTATTTTTGTCAGGAGAAAGGAGCCTGAATACACACAGAGGAAAGATGTTTTTAACAAGATGGGACCATTTTTACCTAGTCACTTTTTCTTATCATAACTGCAGTTTACAGCTAAACTGATCACTCATTTATAAAATACTTTTAAAATTTAAATTAGGTCATGCTATAATGTTATCATCTTTGGGGCCTAAGAGTGACACACATCAAGACAAGAATTTTATCCCAACTATTCCTTTTGCTGGAGGGAGAAAAATCAGGTTAGAATGGTAAACTGCCTCCAACACTGGTCATGCTATCAGTAGAATAGATTGGGCTGGCCTGAAAACTGTAGCAAATGCAAGCCCCAAACCCACAGGGTCCAAAGAAGGTATTTATCTTGCTTGTGCCTTGCTCTGAATATGAATTCCAGAGATAATACTGTGTTGAATTTAATAGTTGAAGAAAATAAAGTATAAAAGAAAATTACCTAAGTTCCTATCATAAACCTGTCTGTTCATATTGCATTCCTCCACACAATTTCAATAGTATTAATTCAGCCATCTTGACTATAAATGAGGTCCAGTCTCTCCATCATTTCTGATTTAGCATGACTTCTTCACCTGGAGCAGTGGAATGTAAGATGTAATATAAGCCAATGAGGATTTGTATTTAGGAACATTTGCATGGCTTTAGGGTAGAATGAAAGGATGATCAAAAAGAAAAGAAAACATCTAATGCTTAAAACACTTTACCATAAAATCATACTCTCTTTTCCCCATGTTAAATCAGGTAGAAAAGTATGATAACATTAAAGCTTGATCTAATTTAAATAAATTATTTTCTTGCAAATGCTACAACAATCATTACATGCATCATTTGCCCCCTCCCCTGCCCACAGTCTTAAATTATACTCCATTATATCTAGGCACAAAAAATATGCATAAATGTTTATTAAATATGAGAATTTTTGTTTTTAACTACATTAAAAGGTAAAATGTTATTTTGCAACAGTTGGTAAAAACTGCTCTGAAATCATTATGGGAGTTTGCACAGCAAACTGAATTCTCATGAAGATATTCCTTTATAGGCTACCTGCAACATTTTATTGTACATTTAGGACTTATGATATTCTAAGTCTCTACAATGTTCCAGACAGCAAAGAAACTGACATGTACAGAGAATGACATTGTTCTTGCAATTGTTTACAAACATACAATCCAATGACATATCAGGCCTCCTCTACATAGTACAACTATACTTTCATAATCAGTTCATGTCACTTTCATCTGACCCAATCACAAAATACATGGTTGATGTGTATTCACACAAGCAGGGATAATTATCACAGCCATGTATATCTATGTTTATTCTTACACATCTACCATGCAGCCAGAACCAGTTTGTATCAGCGCCGTCTAGTAAAATCTGGCTCAGCAGAGGATATAGTGGCTGGAAGACATGCATACACACCTGAAGCATGTGGGACAATGAATCATGAGATGCCCCTCATGAACAGTTCTCTGAGAAGAAAAGGAGAAGAAAAACCGGTTACAGAGGCATGAATAAGGGGTTCCATCTACAATGCCAAAAACCCGCCCCCAAAAACCACAATGCACCAAATTGGTTACCAGATGACTACCATGTACTAATCTGGGCCACTAGCAAGGGTGAATCACAGACAGCTGCCAAAGTAACTAAGCAAGTATTAATCACATTGTGTGTGGAGAGAAGCTGCTTTTAGGGCTTGTCTGCACTGGCAATTTACAGCACTGCAACTTTCTCGCTCAGGGGTGTGGAAAAAAAGAGCTCTCTCCCAGCGCTGCGCCGCAACCACACAAGCCACGTTAAAGCGCTGCCACGGCAGCGCTTTAGTGTTGCCGATGTAGACTAGCCCTTAGAATCAACCATGATATTAACTGGTTAGAAATCCAGTTAAATGCTTTTGTGAAGAAAAGTCCCTAATGTTCAGGTCCTATTGTAGGTACATCACATTCCACATACAGGATTTCAAAATCTTTGCTACTCTATTTGTGGGACAGCATCAGGTAGTATACACTTTCTCCTCTACAATCAATGAGGTTTCTGTTCAGAAAACAATGACTCCTTGAAGCAGGCAAAGCTAACTGTGCTATTAAGATTGACCACTCTCCCTTCTCAGGATGTTAACAAATAAAGGAAAAGCAGTGATGATACTTTAGGTTCTTTGCCAGACTGTGTAGAGGATTCCAATATTTAACATGTCTCCACATTCACACAATTCCCTACAGGAATACTAGACCTTTTTGGAGGGGATAGTTCAAGTTTCAGATTAAGATTTATTATTTGTATTGTAGTGGTGCAAAGAAAGCAGGACCCCACTGTACTAGGCACCGTACAAACACAGAACAAAGAGATGGTCCCAGGCCTGGAAGCCTTACAATCTAAATTAGCTGATCTTGATTTTAAAAACTATTCTCCATGGTATGCAAGCTGAGTCATTTCATGGCACGGATAGGTAAACTGACATATTACGGTTACGATCACATATATTATTACTGGATATATAACTAGGTTACAAGGACAGGTATTTTTAAAATTTACATGTCATAGTGGAAAGTAGGGTTTTTAATATGAGTTTCAAGATGACTTTTTTAATTAAAAAGAACACAAATATTTGTTCTATAAAACATGGCTCTGGAGCAAATGCTATGCCAACCTGCTCTCAGTTGCAGAGGACTGTGACTACAGCAGAACTGATGCAGTTCCACTGAACAGAGGAAGAGGTAGAATGCCAGGAGTCTGCACATGGGCCTGCAGAGCTGTGCATTTAAAGCAACCCCAAATCAAGAATAATCTGATCAGTATGCTACACTCATCTCTTCATGCTAAGAAGACTTGAAAAAACAAGTTTCTATTGTGAACTGTTATCCATCTACAGACTTAAAACAAAACAATTTTTAAAAATGGGACTACTCTTATGCTGCATTCCCCAAAAGACAATAGTAGAGAACCATTGTCACAGGCCTCAGAGAGAGAGCAAGCAATCTATTCTAGTGGCCAAAGTAAAGAGGAGGGATGGAGTTTGCTGTTGCTGTTGGGCAGAAAGGAGCTGGAACCACTGTAGCCCATTAATGCGGCCTTGAAAGAAAGCAAACAGCATCTTTCAAAGATAACTATTTGTTCGTAGACTGGACAGCAGAAGGCATTATGTAAGCTGGCTGGCTGGCATCCTTTACCAAGGTACTGAGTACAGTGCCTTTTTAGCACATTATGTCTGCATCAGTGAAGGAAGCAAATATGAAACTGTACCCAAATCCCTCAGAACGATATAGTTGTTCTGCTGTCACTTTGCTGTGCTGGCCTTCTCTCTTTTAATTTTCATTTGGCTTTCATTGCTACCTTCTTGTGCCCAATATCATATTTTACACCACTTGACAATGAAGATTCAATTTTATTTTAAAAAGGATCTCTCTGTGCCAGCCTATATTTTACAATCAGTGAACAAGCTCTAGAAAGCAAGGTTCCTAAAATATCCAGACTTTTATGTTTTCACCCTCTCTTCAGTAAAGCATTTCAGAAAATAAGTTCTACCGATTCTCGTAAAACTTGAAACTGCTAACCTGAATATCTTGATAGCAGCAGACAATGTCCTCAGAAGCAACTGGCCTCTCACCTTAGCTTCTGACACTGAGGAACTGCATCAGCATCAACTGTGTTTTAATACCTTAACGTGACAGAAGAAATAACATGAGCTGAACAAAAATTATAGTGCGATTTCTAGCAAAATAAATTTGAGTGCATTATCAACAGACATCTTAGAAACCATACATACAAGTGGATAGCATTCACAAAGGCTCTTAAGCAAAGTAAGCAGTCATGGGATAAGAGGGAAGGTTCTTTCATGGATTGGTAACTGGTTAAAAGATAGGAAACAAAGGGTAGGAATAAATGGCCAATTTTCAGAATGGAGAGAGATAAATAATGGTGTCCACCAGGTGTCTGTACTGGGCCCAGTCCTATTTAACATATTCATAAATGATCCAGAAAAAGAGGTAAACAGTGAGGTGGCAAAATTTGCAGATGATACAAAATTACTCAGGATAGTTAAGTCCCAGGCAAACTGCGAAGAGCTCCAAAAGGATCTCTCAAAACTGGTTGACTGGGCAACAAAATGGCAGATGAAATTAAGTGTTGATAAATGCAAAGTAATGCACACTGGAAAACATAATCCCAACTATACATATAAAATCATGGGGTCTAAATTAGTTGTTACCACTCAAGAAAGAGATCATGGAGTCATTGTGGATAGTTCTCTGAAAACATCCACTCAATGTGCAGCGGCAGTCAAAAAAGCGAACAGAATGTTGGGAATTATTAAGAAAGGGATAGATAAGAAAACAGAAAATATCATATTGCCTCTATATAAATTCATGGTACGCCTACATCTTGAATACTGCGTGCAGGGTCACCCCATCTCAAAAGAGATATATTGGACTTGGAAAAGGTTCAGAAAAGGGCAACAAAAATGATTAGGGGTATGGAACGGCTGCCATATAAGGAGAGATTAATAAGACTGAGGCTTTTCAGCTTGGAAAAGAGGTGACTAAGGGGGGATATGACAGAGGTCTATAAAATCATGACCGGTGTGGAGAAAGTAAATAAGGAAGTGTTATTTACTCCTTCTCATAACACAAGAACTAGCATCCACCAAATGAAATTAATAGTCAGCAGGTTTAAAACAAACAAAAGGAAGTATTTTTTCACACAACGCACAGTCAACCTGTGGAACTCCTTGCCAGAGGATGTTGTGAAGGCCAAGACTATAACAGGGTTCAAAAAAGAACTAGAGAAATTCATGGAGAATAGGTCCATCAATGGCTATTAGCCAGGATGGGCAGGGATGGTATCCTTAGCCTTTGTTTCCCAGAAGCTGGGAATAGGCGACAGGGATGGATCACTTGATGATTACCTGTTCTGTTCATTCCTTCTGGGGCACATGGCATTGGCCGCTGTCGGAAGACAGGATACTGGGCTAGATGGAGCTTTGGTCTGACCCAGTATGGCTGTTCTTATGTAAGCCAGTACATTTAAGAGTTTGGTTAATGTAATGGAAGCAGCCATTGGTATGTATTATAATCAGGTATCAGAGACAAAAGTTAAACTTACACCAAAGTTTATGGACCACAGAAGCCAAGTACATATTAACAAGACCAATGCTTTCCTTACATCATTTACATGTAGACCCTGATCCCTACCTATCAATTCCCAACCTAATGTCTTGATCCTGTTAGGTGTTGAACTCCCTCAATTCCCAATGAAGTTAATGGGAGCTGAGGGTGTTCGGCACCTGGCAGTATCAGGCCTTAAATGAGCAGCTGACACAAACAATCAGTTGTTTGGCAAACCTCACGATGACTAAAAACCATTTGTTCCTTTTGGTCTTTTCAACAGAAGCCCCCACAATCTGAGTGTACAGGCTTACATTTGTTTATAAAATTGATTGTTTATTAAAAAACTTCATAGCCTCCACTGCAGTAGGTATTAATTACAGCCTATTGCACATAAGCTTGTCCTTCAAAATTTCTTAACTTTATCTTTAGATGCAACATAAAGGCATTATAAAGGCTAATTGTAGGCTAGCACCAGTGGATACAGTGCTAGTAGAAGTACCCGCAGCAGTTCCAAGTAAACTTTTTTTCAGCAAAGAAGTCTCCCTCATTTTAAATTGAACAATTATTATTCTATTGCATATGAACTACTATCCCTAGATGAATTATCTAATCATAAGGAAGAAAATTAAAGATTGAGTACTTCATTGCATAGCATACACTACTGCAGGGGTTGGCAACCTTTCAGAAGTGGTGTGCCGAGTCTTCATTTATTCACTCTAATTTATGGTTTCGCGTGTCAGTAATACATTTTAACCTTTTTAGAAGGTCTCTTTTTATACGTCTATAATATACACCTCTACCTCGATATAACGCTGTCCTCGGGAGCCAAAAAATCTTAACACGTTATAGGTGAAACCGTGTTATATTGAACTTGCTTTGATCCACCGGAGTGCGCAGCCCCGCCCCCCGGAGCACTACTTTACCGTGTTATATCCGAATTCGTGTTATATCGGGTGGCGTTATATCGAGGTAGCGGTGTAAAACTAAACTATCGTTGTGTGTAAAGTAAATAAGGTTTCAAAATGTTTAAGAAGCTTCATTTAAAATTAAATTAAAATGCAGAGCCCCCCGGGACCGGTGGCCAGGACCTGGGCAGTGTGAGTGCCACTGAAAATCAGCTCGTGTGCTGCCTTCGGCACATGTGCCATAGGTTGCCTACCCATGCACTACTGTATCTTGGAAAACATGACTACCACTATAACTACTTAGGCATGAGGGCTTGTCTACAGTACCCGCTGGATTGACGGGCAGCGATTGATCCAGCAGGAGTCGATTTATCATGTCTAGTCTAGACGCGATAAATTGACCGCCGAGTGCTCTCCCGTCAACTCCGGTACTCCACCAGGGCGAGAGGCGCAGGCGGAGTCGACGGGAGAGCATTAAGGTTGCCAAGTCAGGCACTCAAAAATTAGGAAATGTCAGAATTTAGATTGCCTGGGCAATCTTAATTTGCCTCCTTTGTGCATATGCATTATTACACAGTCTTTAATTGCATGATCACATACTATTTTTTCCCCCAGGACCTCTGCTCATTCACTGCAAAGAAGGCCCTGCTCTGGAGAGGAATCTGGGTTGTAAAGTGAAAGAGGCTGTAGTCTCCAGGGCAACTTTCACCTGTCTTAACCATGAGACCATGCTATTCTTTCTGTAGTCCTCAGCAAGTTTGTGTGTAGATAAAGCCCAAATGGAGAATTTCATGTCCTCAAAGGTCTTTCTTTCTCCCCTGTTGAAGTCTGAATAGTTGCCTCTCTGAAAATGTAGTTCTACCTTATCCTTTCTTGATTCCTCAAGACAGAAGGACATCAGGGACAAAACATACAGTGAGGTTATACATACAGTCTAGACAACAAACTCAAATGAGATCTTAAAGTAACTGAAGAAAATTTTGAAGTTATAGAAGCCTGTATACAAAGATGGCTGCCTAAAAGGGTTTTAAACTATTAACCTTGAAGAAGAAATTGTCTCTGCTTGTTGCCTAGCAAAGTTCTGTCCTCCCAAACACGAAACAAAAATGTATTACTCATGAATGGTGTGGTATAAAGGCTTTACCAGATGAGTTTGGGATATTAGTGTTACTCACAGGTGAGTGATGCTGGCCACCCCACACAAGTGCTATTAAAACACTTATCCCACAGCATGCCATCATGTACTCTGTATGTCACATTACAGAAAAACTACTATAGGAATATTTAGAGTTTAAAAAAAAAAGTTAGTGCTTTATTTCTTAAACCCTATACCTGTAATCCTAGTTGCCTTAGTTATAATGAATCCAGCTATATAGAATGGAGAGGAAGCCATTAAAACCTCTAAAAATGACCAAAAATAGTTTTTCTATGCATAAAAAGTCACAATTTTCATATCTGGTGTTTTGGGACCTCCCAGGGTTAGACGTGAATGTTGTACCCCAGTGGGAATCTGGAAAACCACCTTTTCCAGTTATATAAAGTTCTTGTTTCTAGCCTTACAGGAGCTTGAGATGTCAGACTTTAAAGTTGTATCTATTTTAGGTCTAAAAAACCCATTCATTTTGGGCAGGTATAATTTGGGGGAAAATATGCAACATTTAGGGAATAGGTATCCAGAAGTCATTTGTATGAAGTGGTGATCGGCCATCTGTTCACAAACAATCACAGATTACCCTGGATACAAGGTTCCTTTTATGGCTAGGAAAATCTGGCATCATGCCCTTTGTTTGCAGGCTGGTGAGTTATCACATAAATTCAGCCCATGTACTTTCTGCCTCTCCTGTACTGGTTATACCAGTTTTATATTGTACGAGAAACCAGAAAATGACTGCTTGGGTTTGTAGCTCATCTCACTGTGCTGCTATATATACCATGACCCTATCCATTGGCTCACTGGAAAATCTTTCCCCAGGAGAACTTTAAGGCCACCAGTAAATATTTCACCTATCTGCCTTCCAAGTTCAAAGACACATCAGAGGAAATGACTCAGGCTGAAAAATGAAATGAAGCACTTCCATAGATGTCAGCTATGAATAATTCTCTTTTGTAAAGAGACCACAGATCTTTTTCTTGGGTCTTTAAAACAGATTCTGTCCATGCCAGGGCTGCCCTCAAGCATCAATTGGCTGTAGAGGTACCATTGAAGTTTCTGCTTAGTGAAGAATCCACTCACTTCTAAACAGGATCTTTGGGTATAAAACTGTCCTATGTGGGAATGATCCTATTTCACTATGGAAGAAAGAACTACATCTGCCTTAAAGCTAACCAGATAATATTTGTTTTGCTTTACATTATAAAAATGTGTTGCCTGCCTACTCAAGCACTTAGATTTTGTGGGAAATTCCCATTCAGATCGGGTTGAATTCTCCAGTATCGAGTAGAGAGGAGTGTCTGGACCTAGTTTTGACCCAAAGAGAAAATATTTTCTTGTTTTTCTCTCTTGCTCTGGGGACTGAAAGCACCATGTAAGCATTGTCTCAAAACAGCCTAGAGCAAATAGCTCATCTTGCACCTGCCTCCCTCAGGCTCCCATTCAGAAAACTGTCCTTCTGACAAAGAGGACTTAAGACTCACATTGCTTACTGTATTTGGCATGCTCTCTTTCTTCCTCTCAAAGCTACTGTGCCTGGAATTATTAGGTACAGAAGACTCCAAAGAGCATAAGGGTTTTCTCCTTTTGTATCTTGTCTTTCAAGAGACTAGTGCCATTTAAAGGTCATATTTTGATATGATTGACAGATCTGGTTCTGCCACCAAGGTTGCAAGCAACAGTTGAAACCCTGTGTAGAACATACTGATCTTGCTGAAGAAGAAACTCAACTTCATTTTCAGATTTCTGCATAATTGGAAGACATAAAAATAGCTTATGATAAACAGATTTGATCTAGACATCAATAAGACACAAACATGGGACTCCACAATGCCATTTTTTGTCACTTTTCAAACACCTCCAAAGCCGAATAATTTGATGGTAGCTAGGACTAAGCTCACTATCAAGTTAAGGCATCCATAGGAGCCCCTGATCAAATTCAGTAGCAGCCACTGATGTCAATAGCAGTTCAAACCAACTGTGTGATATTGACTACACAGTCACAGTATCAGTGTTTAATAAATCATTTATGTAAAACAATCTATTTTAAGTATTTATAGCAAGTCAGTCAACACAGTACTGAGGTGGTGAAGCACAGTGGGATAAGAAGGGCAGGATTCCAGGACCACAATGGGTGCCTTCTTGTGTAACTTCCCCCAAAACAGATTGCGAGAACACAACCAAGGATCTTCAGCAACAACAGCCCAAATCTCTACTAACTGAGCTGAAAGAGAAACAGCAATAGCATGCTCTTATCTGTTATGTGGAACAGCCACTAGCAGGAAACACGACACCTTGAGCCAAACTGAAACATCTGCCTAAAAAGCATTCTGAAGGTGGAAAAGGGGTTTTTGCTAATTTATATTGTACAAAAAAAGGCCTGATATATTTGTTTCAAAAATGTTTTGCTTCTTGTTAACTTAGAAATATCAGGAATATCAAGCCTGATTTTGCTGGAGGTCTCCTTGGAGGATGCAGAGATGTGGAATAGGAGCTTTTACAGTCCTTAACTGAAGAGGCAGGATACTGGATCTTTGACAAAAGTGTTTTTTCTTAAGAATTTCTTAGGCACTTGAGTTGAATAAAAACACTAATAAAACCAATAAAAAATTAAACAGTTTGAGAGAAATCACTTGTATATCAGTTAATCAGATTGCACTTGCTTGTTACCGGTAATGCAATAATTGAGCCTTCCAAGAAAAACACAGTAGGTGAGACCTGAATTTGTGAAGTAAAGCATAAGCAGAAAAAAAAAATTATTTAAAAAACAACAAAAAAACAAAAACTTGCAAGCCTGCTGTATACATCACGAAGAACCAAAAGCAGGAGTTTTAGCCCACCTCTAACATAAAAACAAATTATATTCAAGTGATGACTAACTAGCCAGCTGATGAGTGTATTTCCAATTTAGGATGAAGCATGGTAAGACGAAGTTATCACTCCATTTGCGTATATGAATACTATAAATAATTCTATGATAAATAATTCCTAAGACTATAACAGGGCTCAAAAAAAAAAGAACTCGGTAAGTTCATGGAGGATAGATCCATCAATGGCTATTAGCCAGGAGGGGCAGGGATGGTGTCCCTAACCTGTTTGCCAGAAACTGGGAATGGGTGACAGGGGAGGGATCACTTGATGATTACCTGTTCTGTTCATTCCCTCTGGGGCACCTGGCATTGGCCACTGTCAGAAGATAGGCTAGATGGACCTTTGGTCTGACCCAACATGGCCGTTCTTAAGTGGTTTTCTATAGCTCTTCACAATGGGACTTCAAAATGTAATTTTATTATTATTACAGCTTTTACCAGAGTTTGTTTCATAAAGAAATATATTAGTAATCACTTATAGTAAATTTAATAAATTAGATATTTTACAAATTTGAGAACCAAAACTTAAAAAAAAAATGTTTTAAATGTGTCAGATTAGAGAAACCCTGAAATAAATAGCAACAAATATGGAAAAATATGAAGGGAAAATTATGATTTTAAACAGTAACTTCATTTTTCATTTAACATTTTAAATGCAGTTTGTACACTAATTCTACAAGATGTGAGCACAATGTTCTCTCTTTAAGGAGGAAGGATGGTTTTGTGGGTAAAGCTTATGACTAGGCGTCATAAGATCTGGGTTCTATTCCTGGCTCTCCCAAAGCCCTCATGTGACATTGAGCAAAGTCACTTAACCTCTTTGTACCCAAGTTTCCACATCTGTAAGGTGAAGATATTATTATCTCAGAAGAATGATGTAAGACTAAATTACAATTTGGGAGTGTGCTAAGAGCCTCATTTGGAAGATGTTATAAATGTAAAGTATATTATTTGGTTGCATGGAAAAGGAGAAACGGCCAAAGGTTTGAATACAGAATTAGTAACCGGAAACATCATCCAAAGTCTTCCACAGACTTATGACATCCGGAGAAGTCACTCAAATTTCTCTATCCCCATTTCTCATCTGAAAACAGAAATATTTCTCTGCCTCATAGGACTGAGGTGTTAGCTTTGAAAATGTAAACTTTCTTATCACCGTTTCCCTCCCCCTTCCCTTTTATAAAGAAATTAACCTATCTGAGCAACCCACAACCACACACACTTAAAAATGTGGTATTAGTAATTTCCTAGCTTGTATACGTTACCATGTCCATTTATTTATATAATTAAATCAGCTGACCATTTGATTCTTGTGTATAAACAAGGGAAAAACACCCAAACATTCTGGAAAAAGCAAAAGGCACAATAATTTAATGTAGACTGAGGAGATTAAAACATCACATACAATTAACTACAGTAAATGTTGCATTTATGAGAGTGTGTTTGTTTTCATTCCTGGGAAATACTTTACCTTGATCAAACATTACGAATTGTAATGGCAAGCAAATCCTCCTCTTTGCAGCACACCTTGGCACCAGCAAAACCAGGGAGGTTTAAAAAAAAATCTATCAAGCTATAGGATTATGATGTGTGTTATTTTACTAGTCCTGCTGTTGCTGCCTAGGAGTTTCATCTCTTCAGACTAATCCAGTGCAGCAGCAGGGATTTTGCAGCATTACGGAGGGGGGAGGGGGAGAAGGGGAGTGACCTTAGAATACCTTGGAGACATATTGAGTAAGTTTTATATAAACCAGACACACTGTCCTGAGGTGACACTCACTGAAAAGTTAAGCAGGCTCCCAATAACTAGATGGAAAGCAAGAGGTCCCTTTAGACCATAGGATAATTTAGGTAAATTCTATTTCTTACTGCAGTTTCCTAACCCAGTCCAGGCACGTTAATCTTCATTCTCCCCTCAAAATGCCTCCCCCTCCCCACTTTTGTAGCCTCCCAGGAAAGTCCCATTTCTCCACCCAGTAGCATATGGCTACTGTCAGCCATAGCCCACCAAGGAAAGGTGGGCGGGACCTGCCTCGCCCTTCTTTTCCTCCCATCTCCACTAACGATATCCCCCCTCCCCCCACTGCCTCTTAACCAAACATGCTCCCCATCCGTTTCCTCCTCCCTTCCAAGATCTCCCAATTAAAAGGTATTTTGGAGTCTTCCCTCTGCTCCACCCCGGCTTTCCAATCACAAGCGCTTTACCGCAGCCGTTCAGCAGCGGCTCCCTGGCACCACTGCAATCTCCCAGTAAAAGCTGCCCGTCACCTTCTCCCCACAGCCTCCCACTAAGAAGGGTCCTGTTTCCCCCACCCTGTGTCGCCCCTTCCCCCGCACGCTCTCCGAGTCGTGCAGCTTCCCTCGCCTTAAACAGGACCCCGCCCCCGCCACTGGAGCCCCCCAGTGCGAGGCCCGGGCATCCTTCCCCCGCAGCGGCCCGAGCTCCGCTCCGCCAACTCCCGCGCCGGCCAACGTTCCACGGCTCGCGCTCCAGCCTCCTTCGAACCCCGTCCGCCGAGAGGAGAGGGGAGGGGAGGGAAGGAGGGAGAGAGGTGCCTTGCGCACAATCTCCGCCCCTTCGCCACCCAGGCAACCAATCAAACAGCCCTGGCGTCCAAGGAGAGGGGCGGGGCGGGGCGGGGCGGAGCGGCTGATAGAACTCGACGGCAGCGTCACCTTCCAGCCGCGCGGGGCAGGCTGGGAATTGTAGTTTCTCCTTTCCCAGCCGTAGCCATTTTGTGGTGAAGGGAACTACAACTTTCCCAGAGCCCAAGGATCATTCCAAGGGGGCACGCGGAGTCCCCGCGGCGCGTTGGCCAGCGAGGCCCAGTGCTGATAGCCCGGCGGGGCCCGGCGCGTGGGATGTGACGGGACGAGCGACTCGCGGGGCAGGAGAATAATTCAAGAGCTTTGCAGACAGGGCAGGGGGAGGAGGGCGAGTGAGCGCGCTAGGGATCATCGCCCAATTCCCCGCTCCGCTCCCTCGCAGGGGCCGCCGGCCGCGGCTCGCCAGAGGCCAGGTTTGAATGCGAAAGGGAGGCCGAGGTCTCTGACGTTTGCCCTGCACGAGGCGCTCTGCAGGGCCGGCTGCGGCTGCTGAATGCAGCTCGGTGGGGGCTTGCGGCCGGGGGCCCGGGTGCGAATTGAGGCCAAGCCCTAACCGAGAGATTAAAAAAAAATCAGGTCCATTTAAAGTTGCTGCCGGAGCGCGGCTCTCATTGGTTAGGGGAGAGCTGGAGGAGCAGGGACACACACAGTGCGTGCAGCCTTCACTGCTGCTGCGCTGCTGCTAGAGAAGCTGCTGCTGGAGCTGGAGTTGTCTCTGCTGCTTTCCCTTGCTGCAGCAGCACAAACGTGACTTCCAACATTTTTATTTATCTTCTTTCAATCCTTTTCCTTTTGCAAGATGTAACTACAGCTGAGACACTAAGGACGTACAGATCGCTTAAGTGGCTTGGGAAAGAGAAAAGGGGATATCAAGGGCGTCGTTTTTTGTGTTGGGGAGAAAATTTCCATTATGAATGTTTCTCTAAAGTGATTTTTTTTTGTTTGCTTCGCATTCGTTTTTTTCCCCTATTCCCCATATCTCGGATTTATTGCAAAGAAAATCCCGTTGTGAGGAAAGAAAGTCGGATTACAAGATACTACTACAAACAAAAACTGGATTTTTGGGGGGCATTTTAGCAAAAAATTGTTGCGGCTTTACTTCATGAAGCAATTGTCCCCTTTTGCAAACAGAATTTGGATATCAGAATGAGTAAAGAAAGACCCAAGAGGAATATAATTCAAAAGAAATACGTAAGTGGTTATAACATATATCATTTGACTCCCAGTTTTAGGAAATGGCTGTGAATGTCAAGTTTATAGCTAATCCTGAAGCTATAAAGGTTTGAAACAAATGTCTAGTAATACTGATCTTTATTCTCCTTAGGTGTGGGGGTGTTTCAGAAACCCCTTTAAATTGCAAAACCTTCTGCCCAGTTTCATTATAAAGCCAGATTTGTGTAGCGATACCTCAAGTGAATAAATGTATTGACCTCAAATGACACAATCATAATCTAGTTTTAGATGAAAGGCAGGGAGCTCAAGGGGGGCTGCTGCGACAATGTTACTAAACTGCTTTTTCATTTAGATATATTAATAATGCATTTTACATGCAAAATAACATATTTTATATGTGTGTATGTAGAGTCCTGTTTAGTGAAGACACTATGGTTATAGAAAGCCCTTTAAGTTGAAATCGAATGTCTGGTTATGGCGAGCTTGTTTCTTGCACTACCACATCAAATGTAATATATGTGATCGTTTGCTTATCTGGCTTGCAATAGAAACCAAACCAGTTGGGGATCATGTTACAGGGAATGCGTTTGTTAGGATTGACTTTAAAATAATGGGGAAATGGCTTGGTTTAGTTTAAAAATGCATGATGGTGTCTCGAAATACTAGAAGAATATGGTATAGTTCAGGCTGTACACCTATCTCTGTTCTTACACAACTGCTTAACCAGACGCTTGAAATAGTCTAACCCTTTAAACATATAAATTTGCAGGGATAGTTGGGTTTTGGTCCTGCTTCAGCTACGTTTTGATTGGCATAAGGCGAGTCTTTAAGTTTGGAAAAACAGAGGGGATTCGTCAGATATGCATCAGAACTAATAATTTTATCTGCATGTTACAAATAAAATATTTCATATTCAGAAAATGATTGCTTCAAGATATATTAGATGCAACCCCCCACTTTTTTTTCCAAGTTGTAGAATATACTGTATTATCATTTCTGGCTTTTTTCCGTGGGGGCTGTATAGATGTATTTCTTTGGGGGGGGATGACCTTCGGGACCCTTTTGCCTTGTTTTTAAATATTTAATAAAGGGTAAATTGACTTAAGATGCCTATTTCTATCGATGTTTGTCTCTTCTCTTTAAAATATAATTTAGAGAAGCGAGGGGTTAGGAAAAAATTAAAAACTTAAAGGTATTCTGCACCGAATTTACGAATTAAAAATACATCCGCATTGCAGAGGAATTGGGAGTGTGAAGCGGACTAGTTTAAAGTATTGCATCGAAACAGGAACATTGTCTAGAAAGTCTAACGAAACATGTAAGACGTGCACGTTTCCCAGACAGTGAAACAAAGCAGAATGGGAGAAGAATTTGTAGTGTTTAATTAAAATAAAATAACATATATTTTAAAGCCACACCACGTCTGTACGAGTGAACAATAGAATCTTCCTCCTGGTTTTGCCTATAATGCTTGTTAAAGAATTAATAAAACTACTGTCACCCCCACTCTTGCCCCAGAGGCAAGGTATGAGAGAGACATGTGAGCATGGTAGGGAGACAATGTATCCAATGTTCACAAGTTTAACTCTGGAATGGAGGGAAATCGCTTTTGGGGAGGGGGGCAAGGGAGTGCAGGTTACTGTGTTCGTGTGTGTGTCGGGGGAATGTGTGGGTTGCTGCACTGTTGCAGTGAGTAGCAGGCACAGACGCAAGCATGGCTGCTGCTTCTGCTTTGGGCTGGCCTGGTCGATTTCCCATGCATCCTCTCGAGCAGCGGCAACAGGTTAAAGCGGAATGTCAGTACAAGACCCCGGGTTCCCGGCCACTCAGCCCAGTCAGTGCCAGGTTCTTCTTGTTGTTCTGTGACGTCACAAAGGGAAGGGCCTGGGCTCGGTGGAATCTTCGTCTCATCAATGTTCTGATTTCCCCCTCCCCCTCCTCTGTGACGTCAAAGTGAGGCGGGCCGCTTAGGCTGGAGAAGAGGGGGAGTCACGAGGGCACTGGCTGCTGCTACTGGGGAGGATGCATCTCTGGCACCCAGCACTGTTCTCTGCTCTTACCAGGTGAGCAGGTGTAGCAAGCATTGCATACACAGCAACTTCTGTCAACCTCTTTCTCCCTTCCCCCTTCCTATTAAGTGGAGTCTGAGCCTGTTTAATTTGGTTCAGAGCAGGGAGCTAATCTACCTCATCTTTGGGTAGGAGGCACACTTCCCTGATGCCCTTTAAGAAGAAAGGGTTAGTCATTCTATTTTTCCTGCGTGGTATAACTTGATATGGTAAGGTAGAGGCACTCCTGTGTGGGTTGGTGGCACAGGGGGTGAAGTTGTACCAACAGAGCACAGCACCTTTCTTTTTTCTGAAACCTCTTTAAGTATTGCAGTGTCACAGTAGAACATCCTGGGCAGCATCTTTCCTTTAATACACACACATGTGCACCCACTCAAGTCTTTTGTCTGCATGTTTCAGTCCCAGGCATGATCACTCACACCCCAGGTTTCAACCACAGCTGTCAGAAAGGGCCTCCAGTTCCCAGCCTCTTGTAAAGACTTTATTTAAAAATATAAAAAAGATAGTTTTGCCTTTGATAGTGTGCACACTAGCTTTTTTCCATTTAGCTAATCTCACACAGCTTGTCCACCTGAACTCCTTCCCTCAGAGGGACACAGTTTTATTTCATGCAAAATCTTTCAAGCACTTCACAAAAATTGTAAGTCTGATCCATATTCCAATTGCTTTGGAGGTTTTGCTATTTTAGGGAAACTGGAAAATGTGTATTTTACAGCTCATAGTTATTAAAAAAAAAAAAAAAAATCAATCACTATGTATTTTACTGTGCTAAGCAATCTCCTGATCTGTTTATGGAAGAGCTGGCTTGTAAAGGATTATGTGACATTCCCATAGTGGAGTATAACAATGGTCCTCCTAGTGTCATAAATTGCCTATGTTGCTGGCTACATATGATGCTTTACTGCAAGGATGGATTTGAAGTAAGATATGATGTTCCTACCCTGGTCGGTGACACAAGGAGACAGGTCAACTAATTGTCCAGTCACCACTCTCTCCCCCCCACCCCCATCCCAAAAAAAAAAGTACTGTTTTGTAGGCTACTTAGCTCTGGTCTTCAGATAACCACAGGCTGCCACAATGCAACCAGAGCCTTTTGCTGAATGCTGAAAAGTAATTGTCTAAAATGTAC